TTTTTTTTTTTTTTTTGGTGGGGGAGCAGGTTTCTAACAGGTTTCTGGTGAGGGTGACTTGGTTTGGACAGAGGATTGAACTCAGGGCCTCAGCACCGAGCCACCTACACGGGGTCTGGCTAAGTTGCCCAGGCTGAGCTCGAACTCACGCTCCTCCTGCCTCAGCCTCCAGGAGTCCTGCGATGATGGGTGTGTGCCACCCTGCCTGGCTCAGCGTAACGCTTTTAATGTATTTCTTTTTCCTTTTATGAATTTGAGTAGGAAAAGTGATTCTGCGGGGCGCAGAGGGAGGCATGGATTCGTCCTGAGCGCTTTGCCTTTGCCCCGCGCTTGCTCCCTGCCCCGTCATCGCCTTGCATTTTCCTCTCGCTTAGATACGGCAAGATTGTCTCCACGAAGGCCATACTGGACAAGACCACAAACAAATGCAAAGGTGAGAGGAGAGCGGCCGGGCCGGGCGGTGGGGAGAAGGGAGCGAGGCCGAGCGCCGGGCGGGACGGGGCCCTGAGGGCCGGACGCCTGGTGGGCGCCGAGATCCCCCGGACCGCTGCGGCCGGGAGTGCTGTTGGGGCCGCAGGCCGGAAGGCTGCAGCTTCCCGAGCCCTCCGGCCCGCGTGGGGCTTGTTCTCGGAGCGGGTGGCAGACGCGGGCAGGGGTGTTTCTGTCTCCCAAGGCGAGGTCATTGCCTTTCGGCCGCCGTGGCCCAGTAGCGTTATTTCCAAGGACGAACCGTTCGGGGGTTTGCGCGGCTGGGGTGCAGCGGGCGGGCGGGGTGGGAAGGGTGGCGGGCGCTGGGGCAGCGGATTGGCCCGGACCCCGCTGCCCTGGGCGCTCTTGGCCGCCCAGAGACCCGGCCTGCCCGGGACCCCTCATTTCTCCTTCCCCGCCGCGGCCCTGCGCGGGCCGTGAGAGCCCGCGCCTCGCGCCTCTCCCCGCGCCCCTGATGCTGCCTCCTGTTCCAGGCTACGGCTTTGTGGACTTCGACAGCCCTGCGGCGGCGCAGAAGGCCGTGGCGGCCCTGAAGGCCAGCGGCGTGCAGGCGCAGATGGCCAAGGTGAGGCCCGCCTCGGGGGCGCAGTGCCGGCTGCGGCGCCCCTCC